AATAAATTGCCTGCCTTTAAGATCCATGAATCCAGTAATTTTTCTAAATTTCCTAAGCCATCGGTCCAAGAAGCATTCCTGCTGCATGCAGTAGTTCAACATCTAAACTTTTTCAAAATTCATATACTCTAGAGCTCAAATTTCCTTGCTTGATGCAATTACTTTATCTCTTTGTGAATGTCTCAAGTACAAAACCACAGAAACCTTTCAGGGAAAGATTTGTTCAAAATGTACAGCATTATCTTTATATGTAAATGACTGCATTATGTCATTTGCATTCCCCTCTGTGAATTTATCTGTTTGGATACATTCACAGAAGGCAGGAAGCTGGCTCATTAGCTGATTATGGAAAGAGTTGAGATTATGAAAACTAAATGACAGTGAGATGATTGTGTAATTCTTTCCTTCTTTTTCTTTCATTTCTTAGAACAAATACCAAGCCTTCAAAACCCATTAAAATATGTACTTTGGATGTCTAATTATACATGATTGCAAGACCTATTTGTCTTAAACTTCTTCAAGGTTTTGGTAAAATTCCTGAAGGGCAACCATGATTTTCCAGTGCGAAAGTCAGAAATAAAGCTAGTGGTGCAGTCATCCAATCAGCTGTGGAAAGGTTTTGTGTTGATTTTTCACAAAAGAAGAGAATGTCTACATCAACTGTGGCTTTGAAAATCAATTTTACTTCAAATGCATACCCATCTGAGTTGTTGGAAGTGAACAGGCCTACATGCTGGTTTGTCCTTAACAAAGGCACGAGGAGAGAACTTTTCACTGTTTCAGTACATTAAATATTTTTATTTTCCATGCCAGAGCCAAATAGCCAGTGAAAACATTACAGAGACTATTACAAACCATAAATGTGCTTCTCTATTTGCAGCCTGATTAAACATCTCTGTCAAGACTGGTGGCTGAGGCGGCAGTATTGTTTCACCAAGCGTGTATCTCACTCATCACACTCTATCTGGACATCTTACAGTTGAGTTGAGCTAAAAGGCTTTAAATGGAATTGCCCTTTTCAACTACAAGGCAGAACTGTGAAAAAAGGTATAAAGCAGGCTGCTTTAAGCCAGCGGGGCGAAGGCGTCAGTCGAGCTGCTGGTGATTAGACTGAAACTGAGTGTGGAAATTACGTGCCAAGCTGTGTGTTGTTTTGATAGGATCAGGACAGGGGTTGTTTTCAGGACACTACAATCCATTGTTGAGCCTTCTGGAGGTTTTGTGGACCTAATTAAATGGAAGCTGCGATGATGGAAGGTTTAATCACTTTACAGGTCTGTTGACAAACCCAATTTCAGCCACCCGCAACCTTTCTCTGATATTAATAATGTCTAACAACCATGTCTATACAACAAAATAAGCAAAGTATCAATGTCTTTCATAACAGGCCAACTTTGATTCAGGAAATGAATTAGGAGATATGCCACCTCCCGTAAATGATTCTGGGCATTTAAACTTCTTTGCAAATGTTGGTGATAATGTCAGGTACATACACCAAATCACCATTTGAGCAGTACAAGCAGTGCAAACTTCAGACAACTAGTTGTTACCAAAATGTCCTTCTGTTTTCTTTATCTTGTGTTAGTGATTTGTTTCATTATTGTGCCAGGGCAACACAGAAATCATCATAGAACATATGAAGTTGTTTAGGTTTTCAGTCCCTTCAAACATTTTATAAAACTGATGTGACGAAACAGATAACAATAGCCGGTTATGCTAGTTATACTCTGACATCAGTCAACAAGACCAACATGGGCCAATACCAGTGGTCATTGGATACAGAGTCTGCCGTAATATCGGTATATCGCCATAACAGAATGCTAGCTTCTGATGGTAATGTAGTACCTAAATAGGGAGCTACTTCAGCAACCTCCAATAAACTAATCCTGCTAAAGGTGGAAAGGGAAAACTTGCTTCACCACTCCCAATACAATCCAACAGTAAATAAAGTAAATGACTCAACCTAGCATCCCTGGAACACTTGCTAGTCATGCTCAGTAGACAGAAAAAGGAAATGGTGGATGGAAATTACTGATGCTGTTACATGATGGAAAAGGTGGGATTTAGCCAACTAGTTAAAATGATCAACACAAAATTCCAGGTTAGAAAATATTTTTGAATTTCTGCTTTATTACTACTTTATTACCGTACATAAAAATATTACATAGCTCCTGAAGGGTTTTAAGATTCCGTTATTTTAATTGCTGTTAAACAAAAGTGTTAAGCAGTTATGTTTCTAGTTTTATGCTTACATTTGTTTTATGTTACATCACTTTATATAATGCTTTGTCACAACTGCTACATTATAATGGGCTCAACTTTGTTCTGAATTGGGCTCCTCTCAGTTTTGCTGTTGTTCAAGGTCGTGGTAAGTAGGGGTGCTGCAGCACCCCCTGCCAAGTGCCAAAAAAACCTAGGTAAATATGTTAAAAACCTTTATAGTGCCAAGAGTGTTCCTGTTATCAGCTGTCTAAGAAATGTGTGATAGGAAGTTGTAATATATTAAAAATGCCAAGTAATGATGTTTTTTTCTTTTCTTTAAACATCACCAGGTATCATGGTCAAATGACTTTACATAGTAGCCACTAATAGTTAAAACATGGTGCATTTTTTTTTAAATGACAGTAATATCAAAACACTTGTTTTGTTATCAGCTAGCTTATAAAAAGAGCACAGCAAAAGACCAGCATATTATAGAGCATCATCCCCCTGATGACTCTCAGAACTGTTCCTGTTGGCCTCACCAGAGTGATTATTCTCCAGTGACGCCATGGTTACTGTTCAATACATTACAGATGAAAGTCACACACCTGTTGCTGATGAATGCCTTCAAAGACATTTTGAAAACTTGGGACAATTTCTTCCGTAGAACTCGTGAAGAAATTCATCGCCTAAACCTCGGAGCACCTTTGGAGTATTATATTTGTGCACGCAGATGAAAGTAACCCTTTGGCCTATTATAAGCTGCTGCAGTTTAATATTGTTATTAGGCAGTGATTTTACAGTCCTACATTTGCTGCAGAAGGGCATTTGACCATATTGTATGCTGTGCAAATCTGGCTTTGGGGCGAGTATTATATGCTAAATCTGATAGGTTCTAGTCAGCAGTGTGCAAACAGGCCTGTTGTATGTCCCGACTGCTGTATCTTTAGAGACTAAACAGCTGCAATACCTGAATCCTCTTTAATGTTTTTATAATGGATTGGCTCACCTGTGTTTGTGCCTGATGTGTGCGCCCAGAAGTTTAATTATTGTAGTGCCTGAGTTAAGATATTGTAAATAACTGTGTCTCGTCTATGCAGAACAGTTGAGTTAAGTTTGGCTGTTTATTCTTGTCTGCTGTGTGCAGTGGGAACTATTAGTTGCTACGCTGACAGACTTTTTAGAGTTAAGCTAAAGCTGCTGGGAGTTTGTAGCAGTAGGTTCTCAGTTCAAATTACATAGCTTGTAATCAGTGACAACAACGAATTGACAATGGAAATTTTGGTAGCAGAAATCAATGTCACTGGCTGCAAGCTGCAATAACAAATAAAACATATTTTTTCTAAAGTGTCATAAATATCATTATTGCAGATTTCCTGGAAATATCGAAACTATATTAATATATCCACTGGCCATTGGATATTTTGTCTAATTACGAAAAAAAGCATGCTTTCTAGAAAGGGGTTAGCAATTAGCTGATACTCCTGTAGTTCTTATTTATTAGAGGACTCTAATCAAAAACACTCACAGTTATTCAAAGCCATTCTTAAATCAGTCTTAGATGTTTAGAGCACAAGCTAATCATCTTACCTCAGTGAGAGGGAAAAAATGCTTTCACAGTAACTGTCATCTATCACTCACACGCCATGTGTTTATTAAGATGTAAGCACTGCCATGGGGAAAAAAGATTTCTATTAAACTGCCTACACCAACAAGTAAAAAAGCATAATTCATTTTACATATGACTGATTATATGTGCTGTGAGATTATTAAAACCCTTGTTTCCATCTCTAGAGAATGCTTATATAAGTGGTGTTGGGTGGTTTGAGTTGAGACTTATGGTGGCCAACAGGGCGTCCTTTAAAATAACAACAATTTAAGCTTCTGGGTGTTAGGCTAAATGGTGTAATCCCTCTAACTCCCGGCCAGTGTTGGCAGAAATTCCACAGTAATATGCGACATGATTTCATAGTGGCTGCTGTCTTTGAGACATGTTTGTAATGCTGAAAGGGTCACCGAGGGGCACAGACAGATAAACAGAAAGGCTGTGAGAGAGGTTTGAGGAACAAGGTTCCCTTTTTTTCTGGTGATTTCAGACTTGAGTTATTAGAATCCATTTTTCCTTAATAACAAAAGGATGTAAAAAAATAAGCGCTTGGATGTTTATACAGCTGATTACTCACACCACACCTTTCTCCACATAAGCTATGGGAAAAGAGGGACAGGGACAGTCTCAATCATTTATATTACACATACTAGTGTCTTATGCTGATGTATTTTACAATATATGAGAGTGTTGGGGGGGGGTTGATGTTTATTGAAACAAGCAAGCCTGATGCATGAAGGCCGAAGCCTGAACCCACCAGCTGCTTCATGTAACATCACATCATTTGGCATCATCAGCATGAGATGGATGTTGTTCAGACTCGAAAAGACATAATCGCGTTCAGATAAAGCACACATCTTAAAATAATGTTTATCTTAAAAGTCCAATCAGTTGATCACTCCTCTGTGGAAGTTATTAGAAACTTATGTGCTGCTACACATTAAATGTTGACTATGGAGATAATTATAGCCCAGCGACCTTTTTATGCTTGTGTAAATTGTAACTGTAGGTTTGGGAAATAGCATTGCTTCAATGTGTCCACCTCACTCTCCTCATCATGTGTAATTTATCTGAAACAGTCTCTGCTGTAGGATTACAGCTGTACCACTGTGTTTCTGTTATTTTTGCAATATTGACACTTTCACACAAGCAAAGATGAGACGGTATGAAGAAGTACATCTCTCTAACTAACCTGGGAGAAGTTGAGCCCATTGAGTGGATGGCACTGTTCCTCCACCTTCTCGACAGCTCCTGTTCTCTTCCTCATCCTCTCCGCCTCTTGGGCCAGATACAGGTCCAGCACCGGCACCCCTCTCGTCTTAATGTCTGCCTCGGTTAACGAGTTCACCATCAGCATCACCCAAACGGGTCGCTTCCTCTCCCAGTTCCCAGCGATGGCATTGAAGAGGTAGTCTGCGTAGAGTCCCTTCCCTCTCTGATCCGGGGTCATCCAAGAAGGCATCATGAGCTTTACATACTCAAGGTGTCTTTTAAGCCTCCTGTAAATGTCTCTGGGTAATACGTCCTGCAGGTTCTCACCTTGAGGAAGCAGCTGACAGCTGGTCAGAGCTGAGATGGTGTAAGGGTCTGTTAGGTCCAACTCAAAGTAGACAATATTGCTCTCCTGGAAGGCCTGCTTGGAATTTTCTGGGATAAAGTCCCAAACACGTGTGTAGGGAACATGGATTGTACCGTAGAAATATGAAGGAGGGTCCCGTTTGATCATCCACAGGAAGGAGTTTAGGTCAGTTTGCTGTGGGTACAAGAAAAAAATATTAGCAAAGCTACAATCAAGATAGACAGACCCATTCATGGGCCCTCTTCAACTTATCCAATTCAGGGTCACAGAAGGTCTGCAGCCTATCCCTAGTGTGATAGGGCGAGAGGCAAGATAGATCCTGAACACGTCGCTAATCACACACGGAGACAGACAAACATTCACAATTTAGAATCATCAATTAACTAAATCCCATGTATGTGTTTGGAGTGCAGGAGGAAGCCAGTGTAGACAGACATGTGGAGAACACGTAAACTCCACACAGTAACCACAAACAAACATAAACTGAGTGGTTCAAAATAACGTGCTAAATATTTTACTTTTTATGTTTGTTCGATAGTCCTAAACCACAATCTCATGAAATATAGAAATCCTTAATGTAGGAGGTTCCTGATTGTCTAATTAATTCTAATTGTGAGTTGCTCAAGTAATGAAATTATCACCCAAGCACATAGCACCTAAACAATAGCAACTCTAAGAAAAGAAAAAAACATAGGAAAACAAGCGAGAAAGAAACAAAGGGGCAAATTTACAGTCTTTCCATTATGTTTACATTACAGCCTGTCTGACACCAACTGCCTCTTTGTCTGTGAGTGGCTGTTTATTAGACAGACCACTAACATGCTGATAATGACTTATTAACAGGCCACTTAGAGCCCAAGTGTCAAATGAACAATACACATGTCAGTGACTGTCAGACTACAGGCTGTTGCCCTGAATGTTTTCCTTCCTGTTGCTGCTGGATCTGACCTCAAAATGGTCTGAGTTACTCTGGGGTATGATGAACGGTGTTACAAGAAGACTACTCGCAAAGAGACTGAAAGGTTATTTTTATGAATGCACACATCTTTTTGTAGATTAGATAAAGATCTACAAATAACACAATCCCAATACACAAAAGGAGTGTTAAAAGAAATAGTTCATTGATTAGCTGACAGAAAATTGTAGGCAATCCACTTCTTTGTAAGCTTGTTAGTTTTCAAGTTAAAGCTACATTAGAGATTTGGAAGCTTTTTTTCAGATTTCAAAGATCAGATCATCAATTTATTAATTAAACAAATAATGACGATAAGTGAGTAGTTGCACAAAAAACAAACAGGGCTGATTCTACAAGTTATAAAAGGCAGATTTAACCCTCGGAGGGTTTAAGTAAAAAAAAAACTCAATCTAAGACAGGTCCAGTCTGAGATCAACTATTTTATCTGTTATGCAAAAAGTGCAAAATTAAAAGCAAATGAAAAGACACAAAAAGCAACACTGTTGCAAACTGAAACAGTGTGATCACTCATACACTCTCTCTTCATACAACTTACTTTCCTGTTCAGCTCGCAGCTGGCGGAGTCCTTCAGCCTCCACTGGTCTGCTCGGACCAACAGTATGAGGCAGGACTGAATGAATGCGCCCAAAGTGCCCCGCATCGTAGCTGTCTCCAAACCGTGCACGGTGGCCTGTGTTTACTCTACCACAACGTGTTTGCAGCAACTATACCAAAAAAGCATGGACCAAGTCCTATTTCCACAGCTTGGGCTCCGTGCGGTCACGTAAAATGAGATGACAAGTATCCGATAAACCGCCGGACAGAATCATGTTGACTTCAGCCTCCTGGACTCGACGCTGCCGCTTCACGTGTGTCTGAGAGAGAGAGAGAGGCGGTCATAGGAGTCTACACAGGGTCACATCATCCTCTCACTGCTGGTCATGTTGGATCCCCCTCCAACAGACACACACTCCCCTCTCTGTACTACCTTCTGGCAAGAAAAACTGCGCGAGTTTATCCAAAAGTTGCCTGCAAAAGTTGAAGCAACAGGTCCACGCCGTGCCAGCACCTGAAGCTAAACATCAGAATAAAACTCGGGATTACGTTTTGACCTCTGTTTTCCTGATGTCTGGTTCGGTGAATGTGAGCGTGGTGCACGAAGCCGCACTTGCCAGATAGATATTTAAAAACCCCAAACTTTTGCGCACACTGCTCCGTCTATCCACGGAGACGTGCACTGTTTGTTTCTGCGTCTCTCTTTCTCTCTCTCTGACGTGTGTGAATGAGCACCTACCACCCCACCCCCCTCCCCCAGGTTGTCTGCATAAACCCCACCGCCACCACCCTGCTGCAGTCCACCCTTTCCTTTCTCTCTCTCTCTCTCTCTCTCTCTCTCTCGCTTTCTCTCTCACACTCACATACAGTAATCTGATTAAACGTCACCTTGTCGATCATAATTCATATGTCAATGAATTCAGTGTGCATACCTTTACCAGACTTAAATCAAGAGCAATTTATCACCGATATGTGTGATTAACAAAAGCTACACTGATTACAGCATTTATCCCTGATTTCAATTATCGTTAGACTGATGAGGTCTCTTTTTGTCGCCCTAGAGAAGCATGCCCCAAAGGCATTGTTTTTTTGGGTGCCGCTCGAGATCCCGTGGATAGATTATCATGTTCTAGTCCTTAATGCCTTACAAACAGGAGGCATTCGCATGAGAAAACCTGCCATAACACTGGCTTACATCTGGGACAGACAAGGAAACCGCAGAGCTTCACCTTTTCATGAAAGGCCAGCAGAGACATGCAGCAGCTGAGAAAAGGTCAGTCACCTCGCCCTGAATAAATAAGGACTACCAATATGACATTTTTACTATTCAGGGTCCACGCAGAAAATGTGTTTGTAACCTATTTTTATATATTTATTAGGTCGTATTATCATTAGATCCAACACAGCTTTGCATTTTCTAATGTTTTAGCAGTTTTTGACTGAATTTCCTAAGTAAGGCCTTGAGGTTTATATCTGCGTCTCGAGGCCGATCTGTGCGCTCTGGCTCGAAACCCCTGGTTCACACGGGGGCAGTGAACACATGTTGATGTTTTCAGACGTCTGAGTAAATACGAAATGGTTTATTGACGCGAGGAACGGCCCCGGGGCCCGATTTCTGTCGCTTGCTGTTTGCATACAAATAGAACCGGCTGGAGAGAGAGAGAGAAAAGTGTCTTGCATGATAATTGGTTTCAACAGTGCAAGACATTAAGCTCACGGAGTCAAGCTCACCGAATGTAATTGACAGCGTTGACTCGTGCGATTTAAATCCGTTTAAATCATTTAGCAGTGAATGATGATAATCAGATATGTGGCTGCATGTGCATACATTTCCCCTTGGTACACTAATAATCTGCTGTGTTTTTGCATAGCTGTGTGTAAATAAACCAACTTTACCAATATCGGTTAAAGCGCCTCCTAGTGGATAGAGTCGTTTCTGCAAGTTCCAGAACTGGACTGAAGGAGAAAAAGGAAGCAGAGAGGATGGAAGATAGGATGAAGGGTGAGACGACAAATTCAGTCCAGAAAAGTAAAGACAGAAAAGAAGCAGCGGTGTCAGACAGAGTGTTACGTTGAGAAAGAAGCCGGTCCCTCTGAGTTTATTCTGCCCAAAGATAGTTTGGAGATCATTCTCACCATCTTTTTAGAATCCAGAATTGTAAATATAAATTATAACACATGGTTACTCGTGCTATTTTCGATCCATTTCGACTTCACTCATTTCTGAACATCGCTGCATTTGTCTAATGATGTTAGTGACTAACAGGAAACTGTCAATCATGTACATAAACAATCTACTGGAAATGATCTTTATCTTAAGCTAATTTGTCCAATCTGTTGGCAGGACACATTGAGAGAAGCGAAAACAACTTCGAATGTGTGTGTGTGCGTGTGCGTGTGTGTGCGTGTGTGTGTGTGTGTGTGTGTGTGCGTGCACGCATGTGTGTGTTTGATCATTTGTTCTGTGCATCTGTATGAAGATTAAAAGAACATCATCTGTGTGCGACTAAGCACACACCTGTTTTTTTATCTGGCAAAGGCTGTTCGATCATCCTCCCCAGCTTAATGTAGCATCACATATGGCATGCCTGGTGTAAGAGCCCTTAACGTGTGCTTTTTATGGTTTTTTATTGCAGCAGAAGTCACAGTTTTAGTACCTCGCTTGGAGCGAGGATCAGAATGAAGTCTGGGGTTCATGACTCCTCAGAGATTAACTAACACGTTGCTAAAAATGTCACGTCAGTGCAAAATACCTTTGCAACTAAAAACCATATGACACACCAGCATGTGGGGAGATTAAACGCACCTAGTTTTATGTTCTTGTGGGTTGAAAAATGTTTTTTTATTGTAATGATATAAGTTAAACCTTACCAGGTGACTTTAAAGATGATTTGGTTTTATGGTCAGATTTTTTGCACAAGTGAACTAAATGTTAAACCAGTAATCCACAGTTTTATTAGTTAAATTAATTTTGAATACTCCAAAAAACACTGACAATATTTTGTTCGAGTTGAGTGCAGTAAGTCTGTTTGAAATCTGGAATGGATTTCAGTGACCTCCTGTCAATACAGATGCAACATTACATCTGTATATTTCCACTTTAAAGTGGCTTTGTTTATGAAGATCAAACAGAACTGGGGTCTTCTGAGAGATCCTGAGCAAACATCCGATTCGGCCTCTTTAGAAAAATCTTCAAAAGCGTCTCACAGTATGGAAATGACCACATATGTTTCATTTTTACAGATGGGGTGGTGAATGCATTTGATCCTGACAGGTGACTCATACAACACTGTTTGGGGGTTTTTGTTTTCTAATGCAACAATATTGCAAAATATAAAATAATATCATATATATATATATATATATATATACAGTGGGGCAAAAAAGTATTTAGTCAGCCACCGATTGTGCAAGTTCCCCACCTAAAATGATGACAGAGGTCAGTAATTTGCACCAGAGGTACACTTCAACTGTGAGAGACAGAATGTGAAAAAAAAATCCATGAATTCACATGGTAGGATTTGTAAAGAATTTATTCGTAAATCAGGGTGGAAAATAAGTATTTGGTCACCTCAAACAAGGAAAATCTCTGGCTCTCACAGACCTGTAACGTCTTCTGTAAGAAGCTTTTCTGTCCCCCACTCGTTACCTGTATGAATGGCACCTGTTTGAACTCATCATCTGTATAAAAGACACCTGTCCACAGCCTCAAACAGTCAGACTCCAAACTCCGCCATGGCCAAGACCAAAGAGCTTTCGAAGGACACCAGGAAAAGTATTGTAGACCTGCACCAGACTGGGAAGAGTGAATCTACAATAGGCAAGCAGCTTGGTGTGAAAAAATCAACTGTGGGAGCAATCATCAGAAAATGGAAGACATACAAGACCACTGATAATCTCCCTCGATCTGGGGCTCCACGCAAGATCTCATCCCGTGGGGTCAAAATGATCATGAGAACGGTGAGCAAAGATCCCAGAACCACACGGGGGGACCTGGTGAATGACCTGCAGAGAGCTGGGACCAAAGTAACAAAGGTCACCATCAGTAACACACTACAACGGCAGGGAATCAAATCCCGCAGTGCCAGACGTGTTCCGCTGCTGAAGCCAGTGCATGTCCAGGCCCGTCTGAAGTTTGCCAGAGAGCACATGGATGATACAGCAGAGGATTGGGAGAATGTCATGTGGTCAGATGAAACCAAAGTAGAACTTTTTGGTATAAACTCAACTCGTCGTGTTTGGAGGAAGAAGAATACTGAGTTGCATCCCAAGAACACCATACCTACTGTGAAGCATGGGGGTGGAAACATCATGCTATGGGGCTGTTTTTCTGCCAAGGGGACAGGACGACTGATCCGTGTTAAGGACAGAATGAATGGGGCCATGTATCGTGAGATTTTGAGCCAAAACCTCCTTCCATCAGTGAGAACTTTGAAGATGAAACGAGGCTGGGTCTTCCAACATGACAATGATCCAAAACACACCGCCCGGGCAACAAAGGAGTGGCTCCGTAAGAAGCATTTGAAAGTCCTGGAGTGGCCTAGCCAGTCTCCAGACCTCAACCCCATAGAAAATCTGTGGCGGGAGTTGAAAGTCCGTGTTGCTCGGCGACAGCCCCAAAACATCACTGCTCTCGAGAAGATCTGCATGGAGGAATGGGCCAAAATACCAGCTACTGTGTGTGCAAACCTGGTAAAGACCTATAGTAAACGTTTGACCTCTGTTATTGCCAACAAAGGTTATGTTACAAAGTATTGAGTTGTATTTTTTTATTGACCAAATACTTATTTTCCACCCTGATTTACGAATAAATTCTTTACAAATCCTACCATGTGGATTCATGGATTTTTTTTTCACATTCTGTCTCTCACAGTTGAAGTGTACCTCTGGTGCAAATTACTGACCTCTGTCATCATTTTAGGTGGGGGAACTTGCACAATCGGTGGCTGACTAAATACTTTTTTGCCCCACTGTATATGTGTGTGTGTGTGTGTGTGTGTGTGTGGAAACACCATGAACAAGATATAACAAATAAAAAGAAGAAGTTTATATTGGGTCAAAAGAAGAATGCATAAAAACATAAACAAAACATGTCCTGTTTGGAGATGGGTCTCTCCACTGAAATCCACTAGGGCTCGTTAAACAGCGAGACCTGGGTGTGGAACTTTTCGTCTGTGAGATGGAACCATGCTAACCACTCTGCTGGGGAAGTACCCCGTGCTGGTGTGGGAGGTTGAGTAGTTGAGTTGTCTGGCTTATGCCTCCATTCTCCTGCAGTTCTATTTTCCAGAGTTTGTTGTGGCCTCTGGTGCCCAATGGACACTATACCTGAGTTGTGTGTTTTGTCTCTGGAGAATATTCCTGAATGTTTGTGAGACCTCATGGTTGGGTTCCGGTGCTAGAAACACCTTATTAGCAATCACAGGCTTACTTATTTGCAGCAAAACACTTAAGGTCAAAGTTCAAAGCTTGACTTTCTGATTGTATCATCAGATATGAGGTGCGATTTCTTGGACACTTGGGTGGGTGAACAGCTAACATGTAGTTGTGGCACATTTTTCCTCCACGGGACATTTTTGGATACACTGTGAGGATATTAGAGACATGGAAGCAAAGAAAGCCACGTTTGGACCCAGTGCTGGTGGTTACTTGAATTGTGGTCAGTAGGCTGTCAGCGCCTGTTGGAGCTGCAAACTAAGAATCATCAAGGGGACA